GATGAAGTTTTCCATTTATTCTACAATAATAAAAAAAAAAACAGCTCCTTCGACTAATGAAAAACCAAAGATTCAATACTTAAGAACAAAGTTGTTTAGAGATAGTAATAATTGAAAAAAAAAATCTATATTATTAAGTCCACAAGGACCTTAACTCCTTTCTGCACTTGGTTTGTCCTTCAGCAAATATATCAGTTCAGAATTTTGTCATTTTAGTCCATGACTGTGACTGTGCATTACTGTCCACACTCTGCCAGGCAGACGTTACAAAAAAGTACCACGGTCAGCAAAAGTGAGACTTAAACGCAGTGATACCTGTGTGAAACATCTTTACAGATGACACATTGCCTTCAGCAAGGAGGGGAATAATAGAAAGGACATTTTGACACCCTGGAAGTTTCAAAACTGCAAAGAACCGCTCCTCCTGCAAAAATCTTTGACAGGAACTATTAGTAGATTCCAAAGTTACTGATGTCTGTTTAAATGTTACTATTGAGTTGAGCATTTATCATATGATGTCATTCAAACATTTTTTTTATGGGGAAACTTGAATGAACAGGATTGGGATATACTAAGCAAAAGTGCCCATACAGAAGTGCTTAATAAAAAACAACTCGTATGACAGAAAGATGGATAATACCTTAAATTGTGAGAAACCTGAACCAATTAGGTGCTGATATTGCTACCTTAGACATATTCTTTAGAACCTGAAGGCAGTGGGGGGAAAATAAAACCCTCTGGGAAGACTGCCATAAATTTTTACAGTTTTTCTTTCTGAACTGACGTTGGACTTTTTAATTGGAGCTGAAACTGTCAGAGATCTGGAAAATGTAAAACCTACTGTTAGGTTTTGCCTCTCACCTTGAATTTTGTTAGTCATTTGTGCGATGCTAATAATTTAATTGCTCCCGTGCCTCAGTTTTTTGAGCTATTGACCTTTTAAAATATTTTTTGGAAGTAAAACCTGATAATGATTCATGCAGTATTGTGTCAGAATGTTAAAAAAATAGTCATAGTGAAAGGCTGATATTTTTGATCACTGCATGAAATGAAGCTCTAAAGAGGCTAACCAAGGAACGCCACAAAGTTCAGGTTAATCAAGTTCTGTCATCTACAAATAAATTCCTGATAATCTCCAGTTTTTTTCTTATACATTTATTATTATTTTTTTTACAAACATCTGGTTGAAGTAATTTTACTTTTTACATTGAGAAACCAAATTAAGTTATTATTTTTTCCACCTGCCAAAACTACAAAATAACATCCACAGTTATTTGCAGCCATAAAAGATTTTAACGGTGATTTCTGTGTTGATTATTATCCTGCTGAAAGACTCAGTGACAATCCATAATTTCTTTACAAGAAGATTTGATCATGTTTTTATTTTGAATGTTTGAGACATTTGAAAGTGGTTATAATGTCATGCAGGCTCACGGCATCATGTCTCTTCAACCCACCTGGAGTACTTGTCGGAAAAAAGCTCTTAGTTTCATTCAGTTAAAATCCCAGGAGACATTATAAAACAACCGTAAGCCACCTTAAACATTTAATAATTTGTTATTGAGTATCTGTTACAACTTCAGTCTCACCAACTGTAAATAATTAGCATATTTACATGTTTCCATTTGTGCTAGTAGGACAGAAAAGTCCACTAGACCTCAGTACCACGTTGTGCTGCATTTTTCTAACGGTGAGCTTTGGAGATTTCCTTGTCATCCAGAAGATAAAAAAAAAAAAAAAAAAACATTACTTGAATGGCATGTTTTCTGTCTTTCACATTTTTAGGAATACTACAATGAAAAAGTATTTTTAAGGGTGTTTTACACACCTCTTCCTGGGATGCCAGTAATTTTGAAGGGCACTCCATGCTCTGACAGAGACTGCAATCTCTCGATACAGTGTGAAGCACAGAACATCTGAATGCACTGACAACTTCCCATGAGCAAGGTGTACATAGGAAAGATTTTAGTGAAACTATCCCGCCGGACCAAAGTGGAAACAGAATTGAATGTATTCCTGCGTGTAGCAAAGAAAAGGTTACAGCATTTAATTTCTGACAGGCTCCGTGTGTGAGTGTGACTCCTGAAGCTCCTGTGTTCTCAGAGGATCTTCTTGTCTCTTCAATCTCTTGTCCATTTGTGTCAAATCCTGATGTGGCGGCAGATTATTTTTAACAAGCCTGAAACGACAGTTTATTCATTGTTCAGTTATTGACCGTGTAAAATGTCAATTGTTCTTCTTTTAGGACAAAGAATAAAGTTTAAGTTATTGTGTCATACCCACACTGGAAAGAAAAATGAAAACAAAAATGTATGCAATATCTAAATGAAATGTTTAATTTCTTAAAACAAAAATAGGACACTGTAATTGCTATAATTGGCCTATTTGCCACAAAATTAGTATTAGTTTGTGTTAAAATTACAAAAAGATCCACTTTTCCTGGCTTTCAGAAATGCTTGAATATTTGCTAATCTTTAAACTGTATTCCTTCAAGCAGCAGTTTTGCGTGGTTTCTTTTTGTCCGGGACACCTGTGAAGAGAGCAAAGGCTCTTATTTACACCCCAGTGACTTACTTGCCAGAGAACAAATGGAAAGGTAGTCTAGAATAGACGCAATGAAAAGTGGAGCTTCAGCTGCTGCATCACGACGTGGAGCGGGGACGCATAATGCAATAATTGCTCTGAGGTGTTTTTGTGTCTGATTGCTTTTGAGCATCTCTTATTGATTTAGCAGCTTCCAGTTACACGTCCCCCTTGAAACGCACACGTCGGGTCATGCTGCCACACAACCCTCAGAGGTAAAGACTCACAGCTTCTCCTCCTCCCTCCATCTTAAACACCCAATTAGCAGCCGCACCTGGCCACCTGCCTCCAATCAGAGCGGCAGGGCTGTTTCCATGGCAGCAAGCAACGAACAAATCCAGATGCAGATAGGGGGTCAGGGATGATGGATAAAAGAGAGAGGGACTTTGTGTGCAGATGACAAACAGATTTGGGGGAGGAGTGTCATCTGTGGAGTCAGATGGCTGCAACCAAATGTGGAGATCAGGTATTAACTGTTCTAAAGGGATCATGCATTATTAATTGGGTTCATTTTATAAAGTTTAATCCGAAAATATGTACCAGTATGTGTATATTTGGGGTGTATGGTTAAATTTTGACCAGGATGTATAATTAATACTCAGTAAACTGAAGTTTGTTCACCCAGTTCTTATTTATACAACATAGATTCTCAATAGGTTTTAAAATCTCTCCACCCCAAAACTGGTCAAATGCATCAGTGAAAGCTGGTAATTGTTGGCCTTTGTCCTTTTGAATGTGTACAACTTCTGACCGGAAAGCACATTATGCTTTATTGAACTCGGATGTCTTAAAACTGTAATGAAGTGGAATTAATTCAGATAACCGCTTACAGCATACAGAAACCTAACCATGCAACTTACTGTTCTCTTGAAAGAAAAATAAAAAAAATAAAAAGGGTTAATAAATACTATGCAAATTTACCAACTTTCATGTATACAGTGTTTTAGAAAATTGGCAAAATGTCTCCAAATTCTCAGCTTTTGAGAACCTTACTGTAGATTTTCTGCCTTATTGCTTAAAATGCCATCCTGTGGCTGTAGTCAATAGAGAAACTCATCAGAATCAACATGACCAAGGAGTAAATGCATCAGACACGTGGCTTCATTCCACCCAGTACCACCCAATTCTTCTTGGGACCTTTACCACTTCACCCCATCTCACCCCCGCCCCGGTCATTCACCCCATCAGCCACATCTTTTAACCACAAATGGAACAAATAGCAGCTTTCATCACAAACTGATTCTTGGCCATTTGATCAATAAAGCACCAAAGGATTGTGTCTTCCACATACAGATAGATTTTAGGTTTGTTTTTCAGTGGAAGAATTGTCTATTACAATGATAAGAGGCAAGTTGATTGATTAAGACGTCAACAAAAATAACTTGAAAGGACGAGAATGCAGATATTCCCATTCACAGAGACATTAAAAGGCCCTTTTGTTTGGTTCCAAAATTAAAACCGCCTGCAATGAAAAGTGACGTTTCGCCCCTTCATGCCTTCCACACATGTTGTGCAACTGTTGTCAGCTGCCAGGGTGACTTCCACTCACCACGAAGGAAACTTCTCAAATCATTCAATTTCACCATTGTTAAGTGCAAACATTTTGTCGATACTTTTCCTAGCGGAGCATCTAAAATTGAGACATTTTGTCCTCCTTGTCTGGCCAATACTCTGCAAGTCTTTTTGTGTTTGTTCAGGTGAAAGTCAATTCCCAGTCACCCTTCTCCTCATTTTTTATCGAGGCTTAACTGAGCACACGGGCTGTGTTTCTGCATCACCTTGCTTTACATTTACACAGTGACTCATTCTTCTCCACTGGGAGCTTCCAAGTACAACAGGCAACTGAGCAGCTCCATTGGAGCAGATGGGATTAAGGGCAAAGGCTGCTCAGTAACTTGTGCCCCTTTTAGGCTTTTATTTACATTCAGCTCAGATTCACTGAAGCAATAAATGGAGCAATACCACGGTTCTGGCTAAGCAGCAATGTCACAGTCACTCCAGCGGTCTGGCATCGCCTCCTTTTATTTTAAAAATGGTTCATTTATCAATTTCTTTACCATTAAGTAATTCTTAACCAAAATTTGTGCAAATTCTTAAATAGATTACATTTCTTTTACTCATGTTTTTTTTTTTTTTTTTAAGTCTTTAATGGTGTTAATAGATAAGAGTTTTAAATTTTTTGGACATGTTATTGCATGGTCCATAACAGGAGAGTGTGCACTTTTTTTTCTCGCAGAAAGTTCCAGGAAAACATCTGGAATGTTCTTCATTTATCCAGCAATATGTGCTTCATAATTTAGAGTACAATACATGTATGTCGGAGGCTATAAATTGTGACTGAGATTCTTGGAACCTCTGATGCAAATCTATTCTTTTCCCAGAAAACTACCATTCTGTCCTTAGAATGACCTACTGAGGAATTGTTCATTTTTCTTCCTTTTGTTCCCAAAAATTCATATCTGTGTCCACTTTTCTCATTTCTAGCATCACCATCTTTGGCACTGGGGCTAAGTGGCTGTCGTTGGTGCAGGAGAAGAACCTCAAACCTTGTGAGTAACTCATCCACACCACACACACACACACACACACACACACACACACACACACACACACACACGCATTAATTTTGAAGGGCAAACCCAAACATAGATATAACGATGAGCTTCTAAGAAAAACCCACTTGTGTACTCTTAGAGGATGAAATATGAATAATTATGAAAAAAAAAATTGACAACATTTTAGCGATGTTTATTTTTGGCGACCAAACCGGTTCCAGTGCCGTAGATACCAAGAGTGGCTTGGAAAAATATGAATTCCCTTTAACTTTTACGCATTTTGATTGTCATTAAATCTACTCACTCCAGTGTATTTTACTGGAATTTAATGTGACTAATGTGTTGTGCATTTGTATGCAACCCAATATGACACCTTTAAATAAAATCCACCACAACAAATTGTTTTCAGAAGTCACCTAGTGGGTGTAGGGCATCTGGCAAACATGGCAAAAACAGTACTGTGGTCAGATCAGACTACAGTTTTACTACTTAGGTCATGGAAAGCTTTATGTGTAAACAGTGGACATCATCTTAATATCCATCCTGAAGTTTGATATTTGTGAAATATATGAGGAAATAAGAATGTTAGATTATAAACTCACTGAACTGAATTTTGTTTTAATGGTTCAGTGTTGAAACTTGGGCTGCATTCACAGATTTTTAACTGAACGGAAAAACACAATTTCAAAATATTTGTCTGAACTTTAGCAGGGATTTTAATGTCGACGGTTGATATTTATAAATCCTCAATAAAACAGGGAAGTTCAACTCCTTTCATTTAAATGCCGTTCAGAGTTCAGAATGTGACCGACCTCCGTGGCTCTTTTTTTAATTTCTAGTCAGGATTATAAGTATTCAAAAATAGCAACTGTTGTTAAAAATAGTGTTTATAAATTAGACTTTTCTTTGATCCATGTAACAGACTCTGTTATTTGTGTAGATAAACTGTCTCCTCGCACTTCCGACTAATGAAGAAAACTGAGACAAAACACAGGGAGCATCCAATCTTTCGAATGGAACCATTTAACGTAGCGTGGGCTACAGAACTGGTCTTGCACTTTAGTGTTAAAGTCCTGAAAGACATCATCTTTCTTTCCTTTTTTTTTTTTTTCCTTCCCCTTCCCAAGCCACTTGATCCAGCTGGCATTGTGTATGTGTGTGGTGTGTGTATGCAAGTGTGTGTTTGGATTCTTATTAGTAGGAGACCGAGGCAAAGGGAGATGTTTCTAGCTGTGTGAGTTTAAGAATGTGTGTGTGTGTGTGTGTGTGTGTGTGTGTGTGTGTGTGTGTGTGTGTGTGTAGCATGCAAGCATGACTCGACTGGGCTTGATTTAGGAAAGCGTCTTCACTGACTGCCCCAGTGGAGAAGCCCTTTTCCCTGAGCTGACATTTGGACTGGACACCTGGAGGCATGGTGGGGGGTTGCAGAAGTTCCCACTGTGTCTATGTGTGTGTATGCGTGTGTGTGCGCTTATGGGGTGAGGGTCGGTTGCTGGAAGCCTCTCGGTTCACAGGGTGTTATTGGCATGTGGTTTGGGCATCTGTGGGTGATATAGAGCATGTGCATAGATCCTGGGGATGACACCTAAAGTGTGTGTGCATGTGTGTTTCAGTAAATAGGGGCTTGTAGGCTCTGTCACAGCAGGGTGGCTAACTGCAATAACACAACATGTTGGGGTGCCAGGAGCCACAGCTGTTCGCAGGTGCTTGCCCACTTTTTGTGTGCCGATTGCTAATTTGGTTGAAATTATTGCCGCCTGCAACTGTATCTGCTTTTTTTGATACAGCTGCTACTGTGATAAGTGAATTACAGCAGTGATCACAGGACAAAGCGTGGAATTATTTCAGAAATTTGTTAGCAGAAGTTGGGAGTTGTTTTGTCATCACAACAATAGCATTTCAATTTCCTTTTTTTTCTTTTTTCAGCAAAAACACAAATTTGTCAGTAGGTGGGGTTTGATGTAACAGGTGAAAAAGAAGAAATGTCACAAACCTGTAACCAGGTTAATTTAGAAATTAACACAGGTGCACATTTTACTGCACCTGCTGTGATCATGTGAAGTTGATAAAACAATCCCATGGATCTTAAAGTACTTTTTATGGCAGTCATCAAGCAACAGTTTGTTTGTGTTACTTTAATTCAATTCATATAAACACCAAAGATAACTCGCCTGGACTATCATTACATTGGATTTGTTTTTTTGTGCCAAGGAGGTTCACAAATAACTTAGTTGAAACCTGACATACAGTATTTACTCATTTGAAGGGTGACGCATTTCTTGGGTCCTTAGTGAGGCTTTCAGATGCTGTTCATCTCATGTAGATACTTGTTTAGGTCTTTTCTCCTTTGGTCGACTTACTTTTCAATTGAATAGTCCTTCATTTCTCAGGTGGGAAATATCCGTGTATCAGCAGCAAAGAATATACTGTACAATTCAGGTACAAAACTTGAGAAGGGTTATTCAGAAAGTTTTAGAAGACCTTCTGAAAGTATGGACATCTATTGATTAACACCACTTTCAAAGGTTACCAAAAGTTTGGGTCTTTGGAAAAAGAAGAAATGAGGTCTTGTTTAAAGCTTTTGCACAGTTCTTAACATGCTGTTAAATTACCTGACAGATTTCATTAATTTCAGAAACAATGTTCTAATCTGTGTGCATTCTGTTTGAAAATAATAAAAAAAGAGCAACTATTTCGGAAGCAGTTGTTAAAATGTTTTCTTACTTTTTTTTTATTTTTTTTTTATTTAACTTTCCTCTCTCTCTCAGCGGAATCACACGACCTCCAGTCTCTTCATACCATCCTGTCCACTGGATCGCCACTCAAACCTCAGAGCTACGACTACGTCTATCGCTGCATCAAGCGCACCGTGCTGCTGGGCTCCATCTCAGGTAAACAAACTATGTTAACTTTAGACAGATGGAAGATTTGAGTTTCCCACAAAAAGGAAAACAAGCTTTGGTCTTTGAGTCATCTCCTCTTTACTTTTTCCTCATCTCTCTCCTTCTCGGTCAGATTCTTTCATGTTCAGTTAAATTCTTCTTTATGGTCCGAGTATCTAGAAAGGATCTCTAGAGAGAAACAAAAAGGCACAGATGACACTGATACTGAAGCCTGTGAAAGAGCTGAAATACAGTTTATAAATATTCTAGCTGTATGTTACCACATAAAGATGTGGGTATCTTTCTGTAATGAGTAAAAGCCGAACTTGAAAAGCAAAAAAGATTCATGAATTCTTCTGGTTTAGAATCTCTAAGCAGCCATTTATATGACAAACATGCACTGAAATACAATTTGACAAGAGTAATAGGCAATAATTTGTAAGCCTCTGAAAGAAAATTAGAAATTAACTTCTGAGGGTCTACAGAAGAAACGGTTATCAAGTTCTAATAACTGCAGCCAAATATTCAAAGATTTAGGTATATTGCAGGTGAAAATCTCACAGAAGACGGCTGCCGGTTCACCCCCTTTTCTGCCTTGTCGAGCAGAAAATAAGGAGCCAGACTTTGGGTGAGGAGTCTCAATAAGTGTTGCAGAGGCATTGGACGAGAACCAACATTAAGCAGAAATGAAGAATGTAGAAAAGTTGAGTTAAAACATCCACTAATTTCAAACCTTCCACTTGAGAGATTTCTAATGTTCAGTAATTTGGGCTTTTGTGAAACCTCCAGGATCAGAATTTATCAAGCTGATATGTTGGATACAGCTTATTCACCACTTTCTTTCAAGTGAGTTGCAAAGCTACGGCGAAGCAAGTAGTCCAAATAAAATGTGCCATTCTTCTAAAGAACTGTTAAATAGGGAGGATGGTCAGATTAAATGTGGCGTAGTTTTGCCTTCTTTAAGAAGCTGATTGATCTCAGGTTATAAACTCAGTTTCAAAACCAAAATCTGGTTTGTAGCACCGCTCAGAATTCTTTTGTGATGCAAAATTAGCAACAAAGCATATGTGACACTAACACAAAGAACTGGCGCAAACAAAGAAAATTTCAGCAAGATAATATATATATAACCGCGTCTTCGTCACAGCACAGTCATGCACCGAAAGACTCACACACAGCCTCACTCAGCCTCCTTTGTGATTTTGACAGGTCAATAGAATGCTATCTGTCTGTTTCAGTGAGTCCTGAAACGTTTAACATTTAGCAGAGGCTCGGTGACTGACGTCGAATGCACATCGGCACACACACCCACACTTTATGTACGCACATATTCACGTGCACCGGGACGAACACACAAGCTCCCGTTGACATGCAAGACGAGAGAGTGGACATGGGCGTCGACCCGAGTGCCAATCACTAAACGGAAACGTTGAAAGGCAAAGAGCAGAACTGTACACAACAAGACTGGAGTTATTTTTCCACAACTTTCGTCATGCTTTTTTACCTACTGTTCACGTTCACGTTTGTTATATTACACAAGCTTGCTAAACCAACATCATGTTGAGGATTGGCTCTCAAGAGAGGTCATTTGTTTTTCAAGTTGCATTAAATTGATTATTTCATTATTCCTGATTATTTGAAAGTTGTTTTTTTTTTTGATAGTCTTGTTTGAAATCTAACTCTAAGTAATTTACAAATAGACCATGATTTTTATCTTGTAATTATTGAGAAAGGATCATGTTTATACAAGGATTTTTTTTTTCTAATTTCCTGTTCCGTTTTCACATGTAAAAGTAAAAGTATGCATTTGTGAACTACTCATGATGGGCCTTATGTTACTAACTAAGCAGCTTCTAAAGACAGTTTGTTTCAATTGTACATATTTAGAGTTAATAGGGTAAAAAAAAGGTTGAATCCACACAACATTTTAATTATTTTCATGTAAAAACAGTCACTTTCTTCCCACTTAACTATTATTTATGACTTTCTGTTGATCTACCACATGAAAACCAAAACACTTATATTGTTGTTTGACATTGTAACAGCAAAATGTGATAACCTTCTTGAAAAAGTACTTGCAAGGTGTTATGAATTGTGTTTTACGAAAAAAAAGGTCTGATTATGCACATTCATTTAAAACACAAAGGGTTAAACTGAAATTAAACTGCCTGTTCAGTCTTTTGACCTGAAGCTATCTTAGAAAAACGACCTGCTTGACTGAACGTCCGCTCTGATCAGAGTGTTTTAATAGTTTTTCCACAACCTAGGTTGTTATGCTGGTGATTAATATCGTGGATTCATCATTTTAGAGCGAGATTTTTGTTCTCTGTGTTGTTAGTCGGAAAAGCTGGTCCCCTTGTCGCCAAGGGCATCAGCAGGCTGCAGCCCTCTTGGCTGCCAACCGCCCTAACCTTGACCCCCGAGGTCATCAACCCCACTGGTGTGTGTGTGTGCGCGCATGTGCGATAGGACTTATCACAGCATATGTGCCACTGTGACCACTGCCTGGTGGCATATGTGAAGGGCCACTGTGTGGATTTCACCCTGTGCCACTGCGTGTCGACTCCAGAATATATATACAGACTTTGCAGGCTGTTGTTTCGAGCTTATGGAGATTTTATTTGCATTATGAACCATTTTGTCAAAGATGCTGTGTATCTCAGGGTGTTTGCGTGAGTCCCTGCCAGCATGAACATGGCTTTCTCCTCACCAGGCGGTTTTAACACCGTCACTGCTGGATTCCCTGGATTCTAATGTACCTCCGTCTGACTGCCCATATGTCGCCTCTCTGCTCCCCTTTCACTCCGTCTCCTTCGGGGACTACATGTTTCTGCAAGTTGTTTGAATCTGTGACTTTCACAATATGCTTTCTTTGTACAATCTACTTTAAAAAAAATAAATAAATGAATGCGGCCGAAGATTAAATATGGTGGTTGATACGTTGGTTTGTGGCAGTTGGCGGCTTTGTCTGGCCCTGAAATGTCCCAGAGGATGTTCAAAGCCTTTACACCTCCACACACACATTCATAGTGAAAAAACACCAACTGAAGAGTGCTGCTTGGAGCATAAGATCAATGTGACAAGTTTGCTTCTTGTTTATACACACAATCTTTGCACAAGGAATGGCATGGAAAGCATCCCAAGAAAGCCACAGCGACTTTTGCTTTTAAATATACTTCTCTGTGTATTTGCTTGCATGTTTGTGCCCACCTATGCAGATGAGAGTAACAATAAGATAATTGTCTATCTTCCCACTATAAATGTGTTTGTGTGTAATCAGAAGACAATGTTTCCTCCTTCTCCAGGGAGCCAATTAAAGCTCAATGAAGAGCCTGGCAGACAGACACAGAGACTGAGTGTGAAGAACAGATAGAAAGAGGAAGAGAAAGAGAGGGAGGAGCAGTAGAAGGGCAGGGAGCGAGGGTACAAGATGGATGGATGTAGCCTGTGATACAGAGAGGAGCGACGCAGGGAGGTAGAGAGCGAACAATGGGAGGGGAGATGAATAGAGTGTGTCAGGAATAGTTGATGATTGGAGGGCAGAAAGAGATAAATAGGTACGTGTATGTATGCGAGTGTGTGTGTCATCGTGACAGTTTTAGGAAGGTGTAGGAAAGGAGAACTCGTAAATAGGTCAGCGGAGGTGGAGCAGTGCGCTAACACCGCCAGTTTGCGGTAGCAGTTCCAGACAGATGCTACGACAAATTGAAGTAATGTCCCCGGCCCAGTGGTCTCTGGAGACGCAGGGATGCTGCCGTAAGCCGCAGCACTGAGGAGCATTTCAGGTGCAGTAGCTTGTGTGAAACAGAGCAGCAAACAGGAGCAAAAGTTCAAAAAAAAAAAAAAAAAGAAATTACTAATCTAACTTGATGTTTGGCGTGGGATGGTCACTGGTGTCAAGTTACACCAAGATCTAAAGAAACAAAAGTTAGTTTCAAAAGTGCTAAAAAATAATTCACTCTGTTCCTGCTGGGAGGAAATGTCAGAGAAAGATTTTTTTTTTTTCTCATTCCTGCGTGGGGCTTATAGTGACACAGCAATGCAACCTCTTGCTACACATTGCCAGTCAGCTGGCTGAACAAAAGCTTTTTTTTTTTCTTGCTTGCAAAAATTATTTAAAAAAAATATTTCCAAAAACACCATCATAACAGCAACTAAAGGTAAAAAGCCTGTAAGCTACAAGCAGCAGATCCATAAAGCTGCTGATGGCAGGCTTACAGAAAGCTCAGCTTATTAAGCAGCTACCATCAGCTTGTTAGACTTCTGTTTCTCTTTGATGAGCAGAAGGCATAATTTACTGTGGAATACACTTGAAAACACCAGCTAAACATAGAAAATGTATGATTTAATGATTTAAATCTAAGTAGCAATTAATAATGTCATCACTAACACTGTTAATAGTTTACTAATCCGTGTTGTAGTTCTAGGAATAACCTCTGCTTTTGTTTTAAGTCACAGCAATTTGATCACCGTACACATATTAGATAAAAATTGCATTGTAAACACTTCAAACCTGTGAAACTATGCAATTTTATTCAATTTTTATACCCCTTCCATGCCCCCTTGAGCTGGATTTGAAATAACTCTGATAGGCTGGTATTATAAAGCATATAAAACATTCGATAAAAGAAGGTCAAGAGTTTGACTTTCCTAAATCCAAACCTCAATAAAACGGTTGCATTCAGTCAGAAAACATGCATAAAGAATATTCTGTGTAAACTGAGAAGACGAGTAGTGAAATGAATCTACTAATAAAAAATAAACTCCTTAAAACACAAATTGTGGCGATTTTCATTAACATCTGTCTGTCTTTACATCTCTCCTCAGGTGGGACTGATATAGTTTCGTGTTTCATGGGCCAAAACCCAACGGTTCCAGTGTACCGGGGCGAGATCCAGTCACGAAACCTCGGCATGGCTGTGGAAGCCTGGAGCACTGAGGGTAAGACGATGCTTGGTGTGGGAGAGTCTCCCAGTAAATGAATGCCTTTCCTTGAGACTTCAGTCTAAGTTTAGCAGCTGTTAAATCGTAGGAAAGCTGCAATATTGATAAAAATGAATAGTAAGCACATTTATTGCCCACGAGATGCCCTTGAACTTCTAATTTGCTTTTGAAGCCCGACAACAAACTACATTTTTAAGAAGATTTAATTGGAGGAGAACCTTACATGCATCATAGATTAATAAATTATGAAAGTATATGTCAACTAATAAAAGATAAGGCAGTGTGACATCAACTTTCCCTGGAGAAATGCCATTACAAATAACTGGGATGCAGTATTTATAATGGCAATGCATCAAAAACAAAGTTGTTTTTTTCTTGTAGTAGTTTGTTGGGAGTTTTGAAAGTCCTTTATATTTTTTCATTGATTTTAGCCCATCATTCCCCAGCTCCCTTCTGCAGGCTGTTTCTGCCACCTCAAAGGAAAGTGGACTGAGGGATCATTTGAAGCCGTTCAGCCTGGGATTATTTCAGTCAGTGTTTAAGGCTTTAACCCTTTCCTGCGAGGCGGTCAGGGCTGTGTAGAATCACACAGTGTTCTAGGCAGTGTGTTTGACATATTCTGCCACTGTGCACAACTATTAATCACTGCTCGGATAAATTTATCTTCAGTGTTTGCTGCAGTGCAAGCTATAAAATGTTATTGATGGAAAAATGTGTTGGTTACCACCAGGTAAGCCAGTTTGGGGCGAGAGCGGTGAACTGGTCTGCCTGAAGCCGATCCCCTGCCAACCCACTCACTTCTGGAATGATGAGAATGGCAGCAAATACCACAAAGCTTACTTTTCCACGTTTCCTGGTAAACACACAATAAACATTCAAATAAGGAAACCCATGTCAGATGATCAGTTTTTTTTATGTGACAAATTAGAGTGAGTAATAGTAAAAGTAACGGTTTTGATTGTTGCTGTGCTTTAGGTGTGTGGGCCCATGGAGATTATTGCAAAATCAACCCAAAGACAGGAGGCATCGTCATGCTGGGGAGAAGGTCAGTCGATTTGCTCACAAAAGATCAATTATAGTAAATATTGAAACCAAGTTTTTTTTTTTTTTTATCATTGTAGTTTTACTTAATTTCTTTATTTTTTAAGCAGTGCAGCTGAAGAGGTTTTTATTTGTATTATATCAGTGATTACAGAGAAAAAAAACAAGTCAAGTTTTGATGCTTTTCCAACTACAGTTTGTATTCAATTCAAGTTATTTAAATAGAACCAATTCAACGCAAATACAAGACAAACATTTCTAATTCATATTGAAGGAGATATTTGGTGCAATGCCACTGTCATCACATTCAGTACTAGTTTTAAATTTGTTGTTGTTTATTGGTGCTCACATGGAACCAACAGTGAGAAAAAATGTCAAACGACAAAGTTTTATAAAAAAAAAAACTTAAATTACAGTTTTTCGTTATGTCAATAAATAACTTTTTTTTTATCATAAATTGACAACAATAATCAACACTGTAATTATCCATTTCTAACTATGTGTGAGACATTACATCTGTGGAAATGACTAGAAAAATGCACTATTTTGAATTATATATGGAAGGAGCTAGAGGAAAAAAAACTTTCTTTTAGCTTTGCATATTTCACTTTTTTGCTCTTTCTGGTAGTGGTGTATGTATAACACACACATTGAACCTGTGATTGTACTGCAGCGACGGCACGCTGAATCCCAACGGAGTTCGCTTTGGGAGCTCAGAGATCTACAACATCGGTGAGTTTTAAGGACGGAGCCAAAAAGGAGGGCAAAATCATTGTTATGATAATAATTTAGCTTAGATCCTCTTTTAGTTCTTAGGGGAAAAAAAAAAAAAAAAAAAAAACAATTGTCTAAAAATGAAATTCTTCCCACCTCCTGTCTCTCATATGCTCTTCTCATTTTTGTTTTTCCATCGTCTTCTTTGCTTTCCTTTCTTGCAGTGGAGGCTTTCGAGGAAGTGTCAGACAGTCTTTGTGTGCCCCAGTACAATGCAGATGGAGAGGAAAGAGTTATTTTGTTCTTAAAGATGGCTCCTAGAAAGCCCTTCCATCCGGAGCTGGTGACAAAGATTAAAGGAGCCATCAGAAAAGCTTTGTCTGCCCGACACATCCCTGCCTTGCTCCTGGAGACAAAAGACATTCCCGTAAGAGATCTTGAATATCAGTCAGATACGTATAAAACTATCAGAACGTCTTAAAGACAGCAGGAGTCAGCTGCCGCCCGAATGACAGCCTTTGTTTCCCCCTCTTGGCAGTACACCATCAGCGGGAAGAAGGTGGAGGTTGCTGTGAAGCAGATCATTGCTGGTCGGGAGGTTGCACAGAGAGGAGCGTTCTCCAACCCTGACTCACTGGACCTCTACAAGAACATTCCTGAGCTGCAAAACTATTAAGCATACATGACTGAGGAGGAGAGACTCTACAAACGTCAATTTTAGTAAAACTGTCTTGGGTAGAGGGGAGGGACGGTGGAAAACGGAGGTACTCTCGGATTTATGGGTAGAAGAAATGGGAACAAGTGTTTTTAAAATAATAGGGAATTACATCAATGCATAATAAGCTGATGGTACAATGCAGGGAGACTTTGCACCATGAGGTACCCTGGTTGATAGGCAAGCTTTTAATACTGTCTTTATGCTGCTGCTCATAGTGTGTCAAGCTGTTTAAATAAATGTTAACCGAATTAAACTCTGGGCGTAATGTGATGTGCACAGCAGTGCTTGTGAGTCAGCTTATCCCGTAAAGCTTGCTATGAAAACTTTAAGCGCAGCATTAAGTGTTTGCGTACACAGTTTGATTTTCATCATCCTTTAAAGAATCTCATCTCTCTGCGGTTCTCATCTCTACCCCTGATGCTGCTTCAGAAAAGCTTTAGGAATAAAACCTGGGAAGGTGTGCAGAAAAATACTCATAAAACTTCACTTCATGCCAGCAGATCATTGTTGTATGGTGTGCATCGCTTTATGTATGTGTGTGTGTGTGTATGTGTGCATGTGTGTGTGTGTGTGTGTGTATGCATATGCATATGCATATCAATAAGACGACTAATATATATTTTTGGAAGATGAACTTGTGTTTATAATTATGCATTCAAATATAACCGTCTAAACATAACCAAAGGTTGGGATTCTGTTTGGATCTTGCATGAAATGTCAAAGTTTACTCAAGATAATTAGGAATCCTGGATGCCCTCACAGCACTGCCTGCTTTTTCACATCTTTATATGGTTGCATTGACATCTTTTCTAACCTCGGTTGGTTCAGTGTTTCTTCCTGTCTGAATACTGTTCTGTTTTCCAATGTTGATATGGAAGTTTTCCCGAAGGGAATTCTCTTTCTGTGCATTTGATCTTCATCTCTTGTGCCCGTTGTAAAAGCATTCACCTTTTCTCTCTGTCTGTCTCAATATCATCACAAACCTAAATGTATTTTATTGGGATTTTGTTAAAAGATCCATGCGAAGTAGTGCATAAAGTGGACAAAATGATACATGATTTTAAAAATGTTTTACAAGTATAAATATCCAGTATGTTTGAGATGAAACTTTGTAGCACTGCTTTTTGCTGGAACTGCATCTGGAAGACTTTTGTTGTGCGTTTCTACCAGCTTGGCACCTTTATCGCCAGTTACGTACAAAATAGCCCAAGCTTGGTCAGAATCGATGGAAATCTTGTCGTATTCTCAAATGGATGGGTTTGGGAATCGTCTTATAACGTAAACCATGTGTATTCTCTTGAACTTCAGAACGATGAGGTACTTTCTCTTGATTTAGCACGTCTGAATCAAGATGTGGTCATGTTGTGACCAAATGTGAAACTTTAATGGGTGCGACTACTTTTGGAAGGCACTATGGTTTAGATCAAAACTGATCTGCATTTCTGTACATGTACATTTTATTTTTTTTTGGCTATTATCTTCAACATCACACGTGTCATAGCTTTTTAAATGTTTCTCTTTTAATAGATGTTTAATTTTTTTACACAGGAAAATTGTATTTATTCAAAACCTTTTTTTTTTTTTTTTTTTTTGGTATGGGTTGCAGATCCGACGAATGAACTGAAACAGGTTTGCTTGTTTGTAGCTTTATTGGTCAGTATAAAGGAGAAAATACTGGCAGTCACTGGAAATGTGCCTGACTTAAAATGCGAATTTGTGACATTTCGCATACAGGGAGCATTTCACATGTTTTCTGATTGCCACAGTGCTCTGTAGTAGGTGGCTTGGATGCAAGCGTTTTGTGATTTTCTGCTGTTCATCACTAACATCTTTTCAAATTAATTTATTTTTTCACAGGAGTCCTGTAAAATGAACAGTATCCCCCATACCAATGTTTCATTGACAGTATGTGTGATGTTATTTTGTTCTGTTTTAAATAAATGAATATTGGTTCTTTCATGAACAAAAGGATCAGAGGTTGGACAGCTTCCCATGTTACTACATGCATTGGTGTTTAGGACAGGACTTGTAAAACTAAAGCAAAAAGATTAAAATTATTGTTCTTTATATTACTTCTATTCCATTGTAAGCTCACGTTTAGTTGATTGACCACAGTTTTCTGGGTTCAATGAAAATAAACTGGATTATTATCTGGATAGTTTGCTTTAGCTGAATCAAATTATATGTATTTATAAAGGATACTAAAAAAGAGAGAGATTGACAAAAGTGCTGTACAACAAGAGAATAAGTAAAAACAGACATTAAACCATTTTAGACATGACAACAGGAATATTGGTCAGAAATTTGAAGATTTGGCTTCTATGCTGATGTTATAGGAGCTCTAAACTTGACGTCTTACTAAGATGTCAAGGACAAAAAAGGAAGAAAAAGTCCAAGGCATGCAGAACTTTCTTGTTTTTGCACCTTAAGCTAAACCCCAAACACATTTTTCTGTAATTGGGGAATATGTAGAGGTCTAGTTTGACTTTAGACTTGCTTCCCTGTGCATTTGCTAATTAATGCAAGTTTTGAAGTTTTTACCAAGACTTTGTATCAATATTTTTGGTTTGGTTCCAGTTTATGGTAAATGGAGTAACCCTTGATCACATCAGCAAATCCGATACCGGCTGATTGGTGGTGGTGTTGTTCAAGTTTCCAGTTCATGAGGGAAACTTTGGGATGAAGATGAAAGACAGATGGATTGATCCAGGAAGAGTTTTCTCTGCGTGAGTGTTTGAGTCCTTTCGCGTGGAAGCCACTCAGTTTGATCGATGGCTCTTTAAAAAGTAAACTAGGCAGTTTTGAAGATCCCTGTAACCTTTATAGGGTAAGTGTGAACGCTCAGACCTGTCAGTCAACATGATTTGGAAAGAAAAAGACAAAAATAGAAAGGATTTGGAAGTCTTGGTTGCTATCATTTTGAAGAAAAAAGGAGTGCAGACAGAGAGAATGATGGGGGGTCTGGATTTCAGAGTTGAGCGCTTTGCGAAAACGGCTGGTGACAAGCTAAAGTGTTTGCCAAATTCACAAATAACCATCAGCGATAAGAACCTTTTTAGCTGTTTTTCTCTCAGTCATATTCATCGGTTAAACCAGAGGACATAACAAAGCAGAAAAATACAACAGTGGCTTCATTTTGTACTTGACTGATGTGACCTGTTCATTCAGTTTAGATGGTGCTAATCTCAAAAATAAATTGAAACCACTCAGATTAATGACACGACTGTCTGTTGTAACGATTCACACAAAGTTTTGCTTGTGTTGGTTACGTACTAGTCTGTCTGCATCCTATGCCTTTACTCCCGGCTCCCCAGTTCCCAGCATCATTACCTTTTGTCTCTTCTCTGCAGCCTTTGTGTTTGCTCCTGAGGCCTTTCTTAAAACCCTATTTTTTGCCTCCTCTTCTCTTCTCTCTTTTTCATTCAACCCTTGACCCTGAAATCGATCGCAGAGCAATATCTCGGAGGATTTCAAAAGAATCCACTTTGCAAAGATGCAGCCTGGGCAAAATGGGCAGTTGTTTCCTCCACACGCCGTTTCGCCTTTAATTGCGTAAAATGATTCGGGAAGTCAACGTTGCAAAAATAAATGATTTAAATGTCTGAGTCATCCAGAGGTATAAACGAGCTGCAAAATAGCTCAAGCCGAGACTGAAGTAAGATTTACTGCCAGTAGTAATGCTTAAAGCCTCGCCAAAGAAAATTAGATTCAGGGACAGACTTAGACTCTGCCAGCCTAACATGCAGCTATCTTTTAATGAGAATCATTTCACTGTAGCTCTGATTGGACTGTATATTCAGGGACTGAAAAATTGCATCCCTACAGCATGATGCTGCCACCATCAAAAATTAAGAAATTTATAAAGTATATATCCTTCAAAATTATCTGCTACTTTTGTTTATCTATTGTTTTAAATCCAAATGACATACATTGATGTTTGTAGTTTTAGCGAGACAATACATTTTTTGACGTCTTTGCAAGACCTCAGATATTAATGCCTGCTTTTCTGCATAAAAACAAAAGTGGGTTAGTGATAGTGACAAAAGCATGTAGATTTTTCATATGAATTTTGACATATAACTTAAGAAAACATAAAAAAAAAATTGTCCTTCGGGCCTTCATAACGACATTGTTATAGTTTTTATGTCATGTGGAAGACAACGTTGATACCCCAAATAAACATAAAATATAATTGTCATCTTAATGAAACTGTTCTCAGGAAGTTGGGTGTCACTATTTGCAGCCTGAAACAGAAGGAAGGCAGTTTTAACAGCTAAAAATAAACAAATGCATGCAAACACCTCCATGGTTGTCTTCCTTTATCAAACTGCCACAGAGGGAAAGCAGAGGGCAACAGAAAACTTCGAAGGGGGAAAGAAAAAGAAAATTAGGCGCAATGGAGGAAGAAAGGACTCCTAATAATCAGCTAGACACAGGTAAGGCAAGGAGCTTAGAAACTAGAAGTCAAACCAAACAGAAGGCAAAGAAGGGGGAGAGAATTGAAACTGACAGAGATAAAGCTTTTTTCTGAAGTCACACATGTAAGCCACCCGGGCTGAATGCCATGAACATTTTTATAGTCCTCCAATTCCACCTGTCAATCAGTCTCCCCCTCTCTGGGTTTTTTTTTTTTTTTTTTTTTTCTGTGGGATTGCTCAAACGTTGGTGGCTTCCCTCTTTGTCCACACAACCAGTTCTCTTCTCTTCACTACTGAAGCATGATTTTTATTGCTTGAGTAAAATATGTCTTTGCACAAATTCTCTGGTTCAGCTCCAGGAGACATTATTGACTTTCTAATGTTCCCAATTAAATCGCTTGAGGCATTTGGTCTTTCGCAGATGAAAGCCAGGAGATGCATCAGCTGAAAGGTGCCGGAGAAGCTGTTGTGCAGTTTCATCACATGCTGGGATTAGCTCAGCGAAAGTAAAATATGTCTGTTTGGGGGAAAAAAAGCAAAATAATTCCTTGAAGAATTGCACGTGAACATGTCAGCCACAAATGTGAAATTTCCTCCTCGCTCACGGAAACGGCATCAGTTTAAAAGTCACCAACAGAGTTAAGTTAGAGAAAAGCTCAACAATGATCTCAGAATTTTAAAGGGATCATTTAAAGTGGAAGCATTTGTTATTTTATATCTGATTCATACAAACAGTCTCTACAAACATGATTCTCAAACTTAACATCTTTGTAACTCCAGTATCTTTAAACTATTAGCTTGCTGTGTTATGTCATGGAAGCTGCTCGTTTTGTTCCGTCGCTATTTCCTGTCTTTGGTATTTTTGATGAATTCATGCCCTATTCAGGTAGAAGATTCTGCATTTTGCCCATTTGTACTCACTTCCCACCCGTTTCCCACAAACTACTCATAATCTAACACAAGACAGTGTGATTAAATGACTGTAATAATATCTTCCAGCAGGAGGTTGTTCAGACCTAATTTGGGTTGATCAGGGGGGGTCAAATTCCTGATCCACCCAGATCTGTCATATTTTATAGAATTCAACTGTATGAATGTTACTGAAGGAGGTACTTGCCCCAAATTTTTAGAACAATCTTGCAAATAAATGTTATTTAAGAAAAAAAATGCAAATAGCAGGCTTAAAGCTGCTCTTAGACACACACACACTATGAAAGATCAGAGAGTTATTAAAGCAAAAAATGGTTAATTGATACCGAAAACACCAACCATCACAAGAAGCACCTCTTAACTGCACCTTCCAAAGAAGTT